GCAATAGTCGCCGGACGGAGGCTTTTCGGAAGTTTCACCGAAATATTGAGTCAATATGGTTACTTAAAACGTCCGGAATATTGCGAGGATCGCGGAACAGGTCCGCGGAATATTTTTCGGAGGTCCGGAACTCCCCAAAAAGGCCCTCGAGAGCCGAGGCACGGGTGCCACACCGGCCACCGGCACTGGCTGGCCGGGCACGCGCAGGTGCCTGCCGGGCACCGGTGCTGCCGCGGCACGGAGGAAGCCGGCCGCGGCCACGGAGGAGCTGGCCGCCCGGCCACGGCGGAACTCGGCCGCAGGGCACGGCGAGGCAGCAGCCGCCCCAGGCCTACGGCGGCGACCTGCCGCCCCATTCCTGGGCAAGGCCTGCAGGCCCAGCCGGGCGAGGCTGGCCGCCCAGCGCGGGCGGGCCAGCCCCGGTCAGCGCCTGGCGGGGCTGTCGCCCCGCGCGGGCGAGGCGTTGCCGGGCCCCGCGCAGGCGGGCCTGGCCCCCCCACGCCCCTGGGCGGCACTGCGGCCCAACTTGGGCGACAGCCTTTGCCGCCCAGACCAGGCGGGGCCTGCCGCCCCACTGGGCTGCAGCTTGCTGCGTTTTTCCCAAAGGCGGGCAACGCCCCACCAGCGTGGCGGGGCTGCCGCCCCACGACAGATGGCGGCACCTGCCGCCCAGCCCCTTGAAGGCATGGGCGGCAGCTGCCGCCGAGCCAGGCGGCACCTGCCGCCCTGGACCCGAAAATGGCCTATAAATAGACCATTTTCAGCCTATTTTGACACCCCTGTCTGTGTTGACGGACGATCTTTCTCCCTCCCACGCTCCTTGCGTTTTTCTTTACCGCTTTTTGCATTTTAATTTTTATTACATTATTGTTGTGATATTTGGCCACTAAAATTAAATAAATTAAAATTGATTAATATTTCCCAAGCGAGGAGCTTAATCTGGAATTAAGAAGCGGTCGCCGATTAAATCAGGTATGTAAACGAAACTCTGCCTATTTAATTTCAGCACTATTTTAGCACTATAGTGGCATACTTTCTTTTCTTACTTCTTTAATAATTTCTATAATTGATAAATGCATTCAATCATCATTTTAGACAAATAACTGTCTTAAATATAAATATGATTAAGCTTAAACGTCCGGTTAATTAATAACCGTGGCATTAAAGCTTAAATCCGACAATATTGGCTGAAAGAGCTTAGTTAATTAATAACTGCGGTTCAACTGCCTTATTTCGAACAAATCCGGCTTAAGTCCAATTAATCAATAATTGTGACTAAAAGCCTAAATCAACCATTTTAGCGACAAATCGCTTAAAATCAATCTTTTGGCAAAATGCCTTAAAATCGAACATTTTCGGCTTAAAACCGTAAAATCAACCATTTTAGCGATAAATCGCGTAAAATCGACATTTTTGGCAAAATGCCTTAAAATGAACACATTTTGGCCTCGACTAAAAGTCGTAGAATTCAACCATTTTGACAAAACGCCTTAAAATCAATCTTTTTCGGTTAAATGCCTTAAAATCGAACAATTTCGGCGAAACGCCTCAAAATCAACCATTTTCGGCTCAAAGCCGTAAAACTGGACAATTTTGGCCAAAGGCCTCAAAATCAGCCATTTTGGCGACAATCGCCTAAATCACACCTTTTGGCAAATAAATTGCCTAACCCAACACATTTTGGCTCAAAGCCTTAAAATCAAATTTTGGCTAAAGCCTTAAAACACTTCATTTTGGCGAAATCGCCAAAACACGTTTTTAGCAAACAATTGCTTAACGAATTGCTTAAATCAACACTTTTTCGGCTTGAAGCCTTAAAATCAATCAATTTCGGCTCAGAGCCTTAAAATCAACGATTTTGGCAACAAATCGTTCGACAAAAAATCATTTTCGACAATAATAAGCCCGAACACCAATTTTGGCAAGAGTAAGCCCAAATCAACTCTTTTGGCTAAAAGCCTCAAAATGAATCTTTTGGCGATAAACGCCTAATCGAATCAATCGATCTTTTGGCAAAATGCCTAAACAAAAATGCACAAAGCATAAACAAAATCATGCACGAAGCATACACAAAATCATGCACAAAGGCCTATCGAACTACGTTGACTTTGATCTTCCATTACACGGAAGTACGTAGGCACGTTCGGGTATTTCACCCTGGTGGCAAGTCGAAATCACTTAACATTTCATTTGGTCCAATTACATCTTTCACCTTGCAAAGCATCATTCAATCTGGTTAGTTTATCAGCTTGACATAGTCTCGTGGACTCCACCTCGGGTTCGCAGAACTGTGCCTAAACCCCATTGGGATAATTAATCTAGTAACTAGTAATTAAAAATTGAGTTATTAGGTTATTTTCCTTAGTTTTACCCTAAATAATTAAACAAGTGGGCGACTCACACACTCACGTGCATTTCTTCTCATTCATCATATGCATCACATGCCTATGTGCTTTTGGGGAAAGGGGTTCAACAGGTTTTGGCGACTCTGCTGGGAGACTGTAATTATTTGCATAAAGTGGGACTACATCTGTATGTTGAAAACTAACGGCCTTTCTTTAGGCATCATTTTATATGCTTTGTTTTGAGGGTACCCTAATACGAATACAAGTGTTCTTTCCCTTAAGAATACTTGATATAATCCGGACTTAATTTTGAAAAAAAATTGTGATTAAGACATTAAAACTTTGTTATTATTTGACGATTGAAGAATCTTTTTCTCATTGCATAAAAAATGAACTTCAAATGAATTTCTTTCTCTTTCTGTTCAAACTTCTGAGTCTGGATAGCAAGTCGCGGCTGATCCGGCACGGTCTCTTTGATTTATGCCGACGGAAGCCAAGCGTCCTCTTGTTATCCGCAACCATCCCTAATCTTGGGGCGGCACAATGAGTATGCGTACGTTGGACCCACGCGAAACTCTTTGTTTCACTGTGGTTTAGGTATATCCCATGTCAAGGTCAGGGTCCCTAATAAGCCGATTCTCTTTTGTGTCATTAGCCTATAGAATTATCTTTAGGACTATTATGCACCAATGGTATGAATCATTCTCATTAAAATAAATTATGACGTTTGGTAGTGGCATTCACGACATTACCAATAGCATTAAATAAAAAAAAAAAGAAAGCGAGAGAACACAAAATTCTTTGTTTGTCAGTCATGGCAGTTGGGACAAAAGAGTTCGGTCTACCTATATCAAGTTACTTTGACACACAAATACCGCCCACTATACCCTAATGCGATTACCTTACCCTTACAGGTACCCCCTATGCAGCGACCACAATAATACCAGACAACACCTACAGTGCTATCACCAAACCTCAACTACACCTGATTGCATCACTAGCTGACATCCACCCTCATGGAACAAATTGGAAGCCAGAATACAGGGCTAGGATGAATGAGGCATTGGCTGCCCAAAGAAACCGCCCTATTAGCTGAAACTAAGTGTGGTTATGAAGTGGGGCTTCCGCTGGGGGAAGTGGTTCTGCTGCCTCCCCAAACAGAGACCTGGCTCTGCGCCTACGTTTTCAAACCCTAACTTGGTATGAAATGACTCCAAAACTGCTTCTGAGCTGGAAGCTTCAAAGAATGAGAGAAAAAACTGGGAATTGCTAGAAAGGATCTGTTACTTGCTCTAAGACCCACAGAGGAGGTGGTGACATGGACTCTTTGTCCTTGTTCCCCGAGCAAGATTTGGCCTTACTAAGTTCAATATGCCAAATGTACAGTTTTGATGGAACCACCTGTCCTGTCCTAAAACACACTTGAAAATGTATGTGGGCACCTTTAACCCATTTGGATTAAGCAGCGAGCTCCTTGCTCAGTTGTTCCAACAATCCCTGACTGGTGCTGCTTTGAGGTGGTTTGTTAGTTTGGACCGCTCTAAGATGAAGACCTGGGAGGATGTTTGCAATGCTTTTAATTCTCAGTATCACTATAATATAGAAGTTGATGTTATTCGAAGAGAACTAGAAACTACCAAACAAAAGAACAATGAACCCTTTTCCTCGTTCCTTACGAGGTGGAGGGCCAAGGCCGCCCAAATGATCAATCGGGACCTCAGAACTAAGAACAGGTGGGAACATAATCTTAAAAACTTAGTTGCCTGGTCTAATAACAACATTACAGACTCAATATCTACCATTCATTCCAGTCGCTCATTGCCACTGCTACGGAAGGCTGGAGGATTACTTCAACATGGGGCACTAAAAAGGAAGAATCGGGGGTCTCAAAATACCAAAAACCTAGTTAAGTTAGCAAAAAGTCCACGAAGTGGGAAGTGGCAAGCATTACTCCCACAAATCCTCTACGTGTGGGAAATATGAGAGCTGGCAGTCAGTCAAGAAGAACCTACACTGATCTCGGAATGCCAATTCTTTTGGTATTCCGAGAGGCTGTTAAAGCAAACTATATCAAACCTTTGGAAGCAAGACCACCACCTAACCCACTACCAAGGAATTACAAAGCCGATGAATATTGTGAGTATCATCAGGGATATGGGCACAAGACTAAGCATGTTGGACCCTCAAAAATCGCATCCAAGACCTAGTGGATAATGGTTCGATTATTCCACGAAGCAAACCAAACATTAGCACTAACCCTTTACAAATCACGGGGTAAATGCTATTGTTTCCGACCAAGAATTGATCGATCCTTTCGAGCTATTCTTGGAAATGAATGAAATCTGTGTCCTAGATCTGAATGACCTATCTGAGGAGGTCGATGCTATAGCTATAACCAGAAGCGGGAGACAGTATGAACCTTTAGTCTTGGACAAAATTCCAAATAATCCCTACCAAAGAACAGAGGAGGAGGATCCGGTCCTATCACAATTAAAAAAGACACAAGCTAAGGTGTCAATTTGGGAACTTTAGCGTCATCTTTTCCTCATCGCCAAGTTCTTTGCAAGGCTTTGAGCCAACTTCAGACATCGGTAGAGGTTAGCCCTGAAGTGCTAGTGTCCACCCTCACTCAATCATCTAAAATGCAATGCATCGGGTTCTCTGATGATGACCTACCTAGGGAGGGAAGCAGTCACAACAATGCTCTTTATGTCACCATTCAGACTAGAAACAAAACTGTGCCCATGGTTCTCATTGACAACGGGTCAGCATTGAACGTCTGCCCACTAAGGTGCCACTAAGGGTAGCCAGCTGTTTGGGGTTAGAAGAGACAGATTCCATTCCATCTGACCAGATAGTGAAAGCCTATGATAGTACCCGAAGGGAAGTATTGGGGGTTGCTATCCTAAAATTGACAGTCGGGCCAGCTCTGATGGAAGTCCCATTCCAGGTAATTGATGTACCGACCAGCTTTAATCTACTTTTGGGTCGACCATGGATCCACCATGCCAAGGCAATACCCTCGTCCTTACACCAAAAGGTCAAATTCCCCTACGAGGGTAAAATCATAACAGTTCAAGGAGATGACTACAGCCAGCTTAAAAAGACAAAGGGTCAGCCTCTCTTTGAGGTCAACCCTAAAAAATGCCAATTTTCCCCTCTTGGGATTTCAGTATGACACTGTGCAGTTCATAGAAGGGAAGACTACAAACTCCCGAATTCTCTTTGATTTTGGAACGGTGCAAATAAACTGCATAGTTCCTTTGATGTTGAGGATGTCTTACCTGCCGGGAATGGCTATGATGAGGTTCGGAAAGACATACCCCGCACTGCAAG